ACACACACACACATATATATATAGAAATATGGCATAAATATCACAAATATTTTATCAGTATCAAAGAATACATTTTAAAGTATGAGGACCTATAGGTCTCCCTGAGGACCTATTTTAGGAATCAGAGTCCTATGGCCCCACTGGTTTAATTTGCTTTGATTTGTTTCAGTAGATATAAATAGTGTCTGAGTATCTGCATTTTAAATGGTCATAACTTCTTCCCAGCCTTTTTTTTTTTTTTTTTTTTGGATAATGTGACTCCACAGCTCTTCCAGTTATAAGGTGGAACCTATTTCTTTACCTTTTGGATCTGGTTAACTGGGTAACTCCCTGAACTGATGAATCAGTAACACATGTAACACAAACAGAGACCTGAACCAATTTGTGAATTGGTGCTTGCCTTTCTGACTGCACCAGAATCCAGGGGCCACCAAGTGATTGAGCTGGCACTAGAGAACCCAGAAGGCCCAGCTGAGGGTCCGCCAGCCCCAGTTAACTGCAAACTGACCACAGCTGCATGGGGAAACCCCTGCTGAGACCATCAAGCCTGTCCAAGCCCAGCTCAAATTGCTGACCAGCAGAATCTTGAGCTAAATACACAGTTGCTGTTTTAAGCCACTGAATTTTGGGAAAGGTGTGTTGGGTTGCAGATGTTAACTGAGAAGACAGTAGATGCACCAGATGAGAATGGAGCTACTTGGCTGAATCTGCTTCCTAAGGCCTCTCCTCATATCTTCCGTAGCAGTTCCTCTGGACCAGATGTTTGCCACTCACTTTCTTTCAATGACCAGGAAGGAGGGGCTACTTTTACTTTTTCCAAGGCCTTTCCTCAAAGAGAACATACCCTGAAGGCTGTCAAGGTTATGCATGAAGCCTGAAACCCTTTCTTCCTCTAGTGTCTCTATCTCCCTCCTTCCTTGCCTCCAACCCCATTCAAACCATCACCCTTCCTTCCAGAAATCATCTAATTACTGGTGTCTTGCAAATGTCACAGCCCTGAGCTTGTTGCTTCCTCTCTGCCCAGTTGCTGCTACTATTCCACAGGGGGAAAAGAAGGACTTTTATTTCCATGGATCTATGAATCCCCAGGGAAGTGGAAGAACTCCAGTCCTACGAAATGGAAGGGATGCTTCTCCTCTGGACTGCAGCTGGTACCCACTCTCACTGCCATCAAGCAGTTGCAACTCGTAGCAACCCACATTGGGTTTTGAAGGCTGTTAATCTTTTTGGAAGCAGACCACTCTTACTTTCTTCCATGGAATGACTGGTGGGTTCAAACCACTGATCTTTTGGTTAGGAGGCAAATGCCTTAACCACTATGCCGGCAGAGCTTCTTGGTATACACCTAGAGAATCTAAGATGAAACATTTCTCACCGCCACTGAATAATTGCTTACCCAACAGGTACATGAAAATTCACTTCCTTCTCTGAATATTAGGAGCTCTGGTGGTGTAGTGCCTATGGCATTTGACTGCTAACCAGGAGGCTGACAGTTCATACCCACCAGCCACTCCTCGGAAGGAAGATTGGGCATCTTGTTCCATAGAGACCACCTCGGAAACCCAAGGAGGGGTCTCTATGAGTCAAACCAACTTGATGGCAGTAAGTTTGGTGTGGTTCTTTGAATATCATGGGGACCCCGTATAACATTGACCTCTCCTATTCAGCAACAAGGGAGCTTTTGCAGTCCCATGCCCTGGCTTCCTTCATTACCTCGATGACAAAGAGTAGCCCAAAGGCCTTTTCTCTTATTTGGGTGTGGGATGCAGCAATATGGGGAGGTGGCAAGGGAAAGCCTCAGTGTACTTAGCCACAGGGAGTA